TTTTAATCTGCGAATGTTTTTGCCATTAACAAAAACAAGCCTAAAAAGTCCCTTTTCAGAAACATGTTTTTAAATTATGCACGCCAAAGAAAAAAGCCCACAACACAACAGAACTATAAACCCAACTAACTGCACTACCTTCTTTTCCTGGGGGTAAAGACAATATGTTACTTTCTTCCTCCTTTATAACACCTCTAACAGTGACAGACATACACTGCCATTGCCTTTTTTGAAAATGCTTAGGCATTTTAAAATACTAACAAGAACTGATTGCTCAGTTGGCTGCAGGCATATGCACAGCCCTTCTGCAGGCCACCATGTCCTGCAGGCCACATGGACCAACTCCAACAACATCCATGAGGACTGCCAGAGTTGTACCATCTCACTGGAAGTTGAAGTGGTGCCTAGAGAAGCTCCAAGAGCAGGCAAGCAATGGAGAAAGGGTTTCCTTCTTCCCCTGCCCAGGAAATCTGCCTTTCCCAGGGTAGCTACCTGGAGGCAGAGCTGAACCTGGTCCTTCCCCACCCTGGCTGGGGTCGCACGGAGGGTCCGCAGAGCGCCCTTGCACAGGCTAAATGGCTAAAAGGCTAATAACTGCTGTGTATGAACCCCAGCTCCTGCCTCAAAGGGCTGAAATCCAATTCACCTCAAACCACCTGGAGCCCATCCCCAAATGAATAATTCCTTCAAGAATCCATCTGTGAACGCCTCCACTCTTCGGTCTGCCGTGACACGAATCCCCTCTGAGGGCCTAGAGCAGGTCAGCATGCATGTGTACATGCACGTGCTGAGTGCGTGTGTGGTGGGGCAGCTATTTGCTAGTGACCTGAGGCATCTCCCCTTGTCCTGGAAGAGGAACCGTGCTAAGCCTCAGTTCCACTTGCCATGAGCTTCCACCATGACAACCTTTGACAAAGGAGGTGTACGCTACAGCAGTTCAGGGGTTGCACAAGGCGCACCCTCTGATAACTGTCATTACCTTCCATTTTCTGCCTATCTGCAGAACTAGATGGGGATTAATTCTCATCTCTTACAAGGAAGATAGAAGGTGGATGCTGAGCCAGAAATCCAGTTTCAATACCCTTCACAAAGTAGCTCTTCCATTTTTTGGAGTATTGTATTTAAATAAGAAAGAAGAACTCAAAGAATAGTATTAGCATAATATTACACATGGTGCTTCAAATTTTTAAGTATTATGAAAGAATAGGGGGGTGTCAACATGATGCACAGTATAACGCTAGTGAATGGTGAGAAAGGAGAGGAGAAACAATTCTTATAAAGCACAAGTATCTCTCCACAACGGCAAAAAAGGTTCAGCAGTCACTGCTGCATCTTCTCATGCATGTGTTTTGTTTGCAAACTTTACTGCAAAATCTCTGTGTGGTAACAGCATGCATGTTTCACAGGTAAGCAAGATTTTGTTCAGCAGAAAAATTCAGAGCATGGATATCCTTTAGCCATGAAGATCTCCAATACACTGAAAAAAAGAGTAGCAACTGCACAACTGATCCTGCAGTATCACTACTAGCACTTGAATTGCCTCGCCTCTAACCTGTGCACACAATGGCTTTGTATTTCATAAAAACATAATCAAAGCCAAGCATTCAGACAACATTATCAGTGTTGCTGGATGCTGTAGGTGCTACCTGCTTCTGCAGATCAGCCTGTAATGATAAAGAGAATTTGTGTCTGTGTCTGTTAATTTAATAACAGAGGCAATAGCACTGTTACAGTGCTCTCAGTACAGGGCAAGCCTCTCACCACTGCCCTTAGCCACCACTAAACCCTGCGCAGGGTCTGATGACTTTGGGCTGTAACACTGCAGGGCAGGAGCCAAGGAAAGCCAACAGGCAAGATGCTGAGCTCCTCTTTCTGCTCCTAACTTGAAGTATAGCCTTCCTTACATTGCTTTGACTTGGCTATGTCTGCTCTCACAGCTGCTCTGCTGGTCTAGACAGAGGAAGAAAAGCAAGCTCTGGTCCTGCCCATTACCCTACTCTTGGCTATGGAAACAGGTGAAGCTGTGCCTGTCTTCACACCATCAGCAAAGATGCTGGCAATTTTAATGTAGCCAGACCTGGAGAGAATTTATGGCCCAGATGCACAAAAGTACCTGCCTCTCAGTGACTCCAGGAGGAGATACCACATCTCAAAACCTCTGTCAATTTAGTTTTACTTCTCCCCTTTCCCTTGCACAAAAGCACTATAAGCTAAAGCATTAGGTTTCTATCAGATACTAGGTAGGGACAAAATTTTGAGGACAGAAAATTCTAGTGATTACTTCTGTTGGTGACTTTTTTCTCCGCACCATTTCACTCTGCCTTGTACTTTTCACTTCTCTTCAGCATAACAGAGAAAACCAGAGAAAGTAATTTCCCTAGCACACAGTGTCCCTCCTTCTCAGCCCCAGCAAGTACCATCAGATTGGCCTTCTGAAACTGCAGGTAGAAAAACCTACCATTCAGCAGCAGCAGCCTCTGCACTGCTCTGGAGCCTTTTTCCCTTCAAAAGCCTGCTGCCAGCTGCACTCTGGTGAGCTGGCTGCTGCCCGGCTGCCCGGGAGGGGGATTTGGGAAACGTATTCCAGGGAACAGCTCAAACTTCATCCTTTTACGTACTTCCACAGTTCTCCGCCCTGCATGCCACAGACCTCCATTTGTATTTGTACAACCACTTAAAAACACAGTTTGGGGGGGGGTGTGTGTCTTGCTATTGTAGCTTGACCTCGGCATGGAGGATGGGCAAGCAAGGGCCAGAGTCTAGAGTACGTTGCTTGCACCTCGTTGGTATGGGGTGATGCTGCCCCATACACTGTGGCCAAGTACATAGATTTTAGCTGTGACTGCAGGAACTGCCTTTCAGACAGGTTTTTAAAAAGGGTCTGTTAGTGCAGTTTTGCTGCCAGCATCGATACAGTAGAGCTCTTCTGTGCTGCCTACAATATAACCGGGGCTGGCAGCCTCCCCAAAACACAGCTGTGCCTGCAGATTTCCTCGCTGGCCACAGTGCCCGCGAGTTGGAGCAGAGGTGGAGAAGCAGCAGCAGCTCCACCATGTGCTCCTCTCACATGGAATTGTCCCCCCTGCATGCTCGTCCAACCCTCTCTCTCTCCCACTCCTGCCAGGGCTTACTCCAGCCTAATTGCATATGTGCCCATAGTTCCTTGCAACAATTTGTTTCTTTTTGTAAACTGTTCAGTAATGTTTGCAGAACATAAACCAGTTAGGACATCTTGCCTGGGGACAGACATCAGCAATCCAGAGATTCAGAGGAAGCAAAGCTAAAGGATGCTATCACTACAGTACTACAGTACTTCAAAAGGGTACTAGTGTCTCTCCCCGCTCCTACCACACATCCAAAATGTGCAATGAAGTAAGCAAGCACTGTGCAGCCTGAACAGAGTGACTACAGTTTATGCTATACTGCCTCATCTGTTCTTTGCACCAGCTGTTCCTGGAAGGAGGTGCCACTGAATTGTTCCTCTCTTCCTCTGATGATCTGGAAGAAAGACAGAGGGCGTTTATTTTTTTTTTTTTTAATCCTGGCTTTTTAGCAAAGGGAACAGGGCTAAATTGTTTTGTACTGGCACTTGCTACCTTCTCATCCCATGCCCTTCTTGCTGTGCAAGCATGGTACAAGACATTACATGCTGAAATAATATTTAGGTTTGCAGCTGGGCTCGTTACTGCTGTAATTTAGAAGGTATAACCAGTCATCAGCATTTCAAAATACATTCAGTTTTCAATAAAGAGGCAATTTCCACAGGCAATGATCATAAATGAATGACAGTGTACTCAAGAAGAACGAACAAAGCTGCCAGTCTGTCAAGAATTTGCCTGATGGGTCATCCCAGTTTAATTAAGGGAAAAAATTTACTGTTAGAGACAGGAGAGCAAGTCAACTCTCCTACAAAGGTGCCTCCTTTCCTTTTTGCATGAAAAATAACCTCCCTTTGTTTTGAATTACTGATGCACAAGCAGCTTGTGGCAAATCACTCTCCAGAATTAAATAAATGGCTGAAAACTATGAGCCGAATTCATCCTTAATGCACTGGATAAATGTGACTCTACATGATCTGTGGGTCTTTCAAACCCACCTCAGGGTATCAGCTGAATATTTCCCGGAAATTTTGTGCCCTGCAGGCGGTGAGCCGACCCCAACTACAGACAGCTCGGCTCTCTCTGGCGAGCAGCCACGGTGGCCATGCTTTACTCCTCTGCCCCAGGGGCATGGAGCTGCCAGCAACCAGCACTGCCCTTCCCAGACTTGCCCTGTGCCCCCGAAGGCACCCAGCAAGCCGTGCCCCAGAGCCTGCCAGACAACGTCTCCTAGCCAAATCCAGTTTCTTCCACTTCTGCAGTTTCAGTGCAAGGGCAAAAAGCTATCTCAGTCTTTGGAGAACTGCTTCAATCCAAATAAACTTTTCTGTCAGAGGTCTAGTGTCTCAGCACGTCGAGGGATCCAAGGCAGCTCCACAGACATTGCTTACACCAGCTAAGAACCTGTATTGTATTATGGCCAAAATAATCTGTTTTCACTGACTGAATGATCTGATCGATGGCTAAATGTACAATAAAAAGGTATTGTGTTCAAATCCAAATATTTCTCTATAGTTCTGGAAACCTAGATACAGTAGCACCATGTTTGTGTGGGAGAATACGAAAACTAAGACTGCTTATAAAATAAAAGTTGTGCTGTCGAGAGTACTTGCTTTGTCAAAGATGAGTGAAGTCAGAAGAAACAATAAAAACAGTGCATATTTCAAGAATGTTCATTTCAGGGGGGTAGTCTTCTCCAGTTTAATAACCAAAGACACCACAATACATATAAATAAACTGGGGACTGAGAGCTGTAGTTTTAACCTGGTAACGTTCCACAAGGCAAATACATCTTCTCAGAGCAGATATGTAAAAGCATTAGCCTCCATCATGCTGTCGTCCGTTAACAGGTCTACATGCAGGCCCAGAAAGACTATGTAGTACATGTATAAATATACATACCCGACTTGGGTACAGTCTCGATATGGCAGCACTGAAAATATGCTACAGAAGGATCTTCTGCTGCTGATAAGGACTATTCTAAAATATAAAAGAAAACAAAAGAAATCAAAGACTAAAATTTAAAAATCCCACCACAATAAGCAAAGCAACAGATGTTACCCTTGAGGAATTCATAATCATAAAACTTCCATCATGGATGACTTCTCCCTCCTCTTTTTTATCTCACAGGTAGGGTATCGTGCTACTGAGTGTTTACAGAAGTGCTGAAGCCTGTGCCATGCATTACAAGGTGAATGAGTAGTGCAGTCCCATCCCCCTTTCTAGGAAGACTATCTTGGACACATTACTTGGAATCCAGGATAGATGGTTTTCTAGTGAAAGGAGTCCTAGTGAAAGGAGTCCACCCAGACAGGCAAGGAGCCATTCTTGACAACTCACCACCATGGCTGAAACTAACCAGACAAATCCAGCAGCAACCCAGGTGATATACACACCAACAACCACCTGTGATACACACCACGACTCTGTGGCTGACTTGGGAGTCTGCATTTATCAGACAAGAATTTCCAGCTGCTGGTCATGACCTTTCTCTGCTAAACCAAAGGACTCCCTTCATTTTCAGCTTCCGGTTCCTGCAATAGACTGATTCATGGATGAAGTCCAAGTTTGCTATTATCATAAGCTTTCAGATCCTTTCACTGTTTTCCAGGTTCCTCCTTCAGTCTTCTCCAGTTTTTCCCCATTGCCCTTCTTGGTCTCTGGGCAGTATCACTGGCCTCAGCAGTTGCACAGATGACAAATAGAAACATCAGATCTTTCAGTCTTACCTTCAAGATCAGTGTCTAGCTCTGACGACCCACCAACCCCTGCACCCAGTAATCATATCATCCCCCTTGGTTATGATGTCGCATTGACACTCAGGCGTGACTGATCCACAGCTCCTCGCCCCTTCTCCTCCAGTGCCACGTCTGCCTCAGTCACTAACTGTCAGGGCTGAATCCCTCCTGTAAGCATGGTTTGCCTTCATTCCTTATAGGCAGGTAGCTCAAGATTTGGCTACATGAAAGCATACATTAACTGCCTGCACAGAGCTTATCTCAGAATCCAGGCCACTCTTACAGCAAACGCCTTGTATTCTTAACCAGTCTCCAAATCTCTGCATCATCTGCAAAGTCACTGTGTGGCATTAAATCAAATACCTTAGAGCACCCTATCTGTTTTACAGCCACACTATTACCTTTAGCCATCATGCTCTGACGTATCATTAAGCAACATCAAAACCACCATGAGGTCAAGACCCACTTTCCATAAAACTGCATGGACTGCCAACAGCTACATTATTATAGTCTGGGGAGATGCAGATTGGCAAGAAGCCAAGAGAAGCTTGATCAAGATGTAAGATATAAAATGCCAATAAATAACCGATTGTTTATAAATATACCCTCTTTCCTTCTTACCTGCAGAACACTGACAATTGTACAACATAACACTAAAAAGACCCTTCTTCCCTCTAACTGCCATCACCATGTCTTAGAGGAATTTGAGGGGATGCAATTTGTGCCATCTTCTAATCCTATTAATGTTAGAATTTACTGACATTTTACCTTTCTAAAATTCTGTACTTGTGGTCCAAATGCTAGGACCTACTGCTAGGTTGGTTGTCAGGGCTATTGCACTTCCTTGCTCTGCTCTCCAACATTGATTTTTCCGATGTTCTGTGCCACAGATCTGTATGTGAGGATTTCACCCAAATATTTCATCCTTTGTCCTACACTGGTCAAAGTTGGACAATGAACCCTAGCAAGCTATTTCGTTCTTTACTGTCTGAAAACCACCATATGCACCTACAAATCTCATACCAGTTACACTGTTATTAAAACACTATTTCCTTAAGGGACCAGCTTAGTCATGATTCTTGGAAAAGTTTAGACCCCCAAGAGAGCTGCTGCATGCAATGCTTGGAAAAATGCAGAATGATCATTTTCCTTCTCCTAGGTCATTCTGTTAGAGTAATCCTATTTTTCTCCTTAAAAGCATGTTTAAAAGCAAAGTGGTATTTACCCTTTAATAAAGGAGAGTTTCTAATAATAAACATGCATACAGCATTATGAAGTTCTCTTGCAGCAGATAAAGTATGACTTCATTTTTTGTTTTAATGCCATAACACCCCTTACCTATGGTAAATATCTCAGATCCTAAAAGATGATCTCATGGTGCAGCAGTAAGTTATAGAGCAGGGGGAGGGAATCATTTTTCACATTTAATAAAGGCAATCCACAAGCAAAAAAACCTGGCATGTGATTAATTTTGTGCTTGCCGCTACTTATGCTGAATGGTTGCTACTCACAACAGCTTGCTTGTTCACTGGAAGCCTTGTTTGCTGATGTTATGAAACTTAGCACAGATTTTGAGGCTGACATAAGAAAGCATCTCTGAATTCAGAAAACCACGGTATCCACTAAGCATATTTGCCCCACTCCCTCTGGTTGCTTCTGGAAATACAGCTCTTCCACCAACACCCTACACCTCCCTAAAAAAAAACCCCAGCTCTTAATACCTGAAGAAGAACAAACTGTCCTCCCATATCCACAAGCAGAGACAACAGTGGCACGTGACTACATAAACCTTACTGTGTGTATCAGAAGGAATCAGACCTGAAAGGAAATAAAAAGCACCAGCCCAGCCTCTAGTTTTTTTCAGGTTTCTTTCCCACGGGACCCAAGTATTGCCCGTCTTTCCGTAAATCGGGGGACCCCCTTTACATAAAGGTCTCCCAGGCAGAGCAGGAGAGGAGCCCACGGCCTCCACTGCCAGGATGCCACAAAACCTCATCTGCTGCAGGAGGGGGCTAGGGCAGAACAGCCTTAGGAGCTGGACTGGAAGAGAAGCAGGGAGGGCAGCGGTCAGAAGCCCATCACGGAGGAATAAAATGGCATTTTATTTAGAGGTCTGATGATATGCATGGAAAACAAAAAAATTCTGAGGGCCTGCAATGGTTTGCTGGGGCAGAAAAGTCCAGAAACTTGTCACAAAGTACGCTTTGGAGAAGGTGTGGCAGAAGCCGGTTGCTGTTCAGGAATATCGAATTATTGTTTATGGGAGTGTTGTGGTTTAACCCCAGCCAGTAACTAAGCACCACGCAGCTGCTGACTCACTCTCCTCAACCCAGGGGGATGGGGGAGAGAATCAGGAAAAAAAAGGTAAAACGTGTGGGTTGAGATAAGAACAGTTTAATAGAACAGAAAGGAAGAAACTAATAAGGATAATAATAACAATAATAAAATTACAATAATAATAAAAGGATGGGAATATGCAACACAAGCGATGCACAATGCAATTGCTCATCACTCACTGACTGATGCTGAAACTAGGACAGATGCCCAGTCAGTTCCTGAGCAGCAGCCTCTGTCCAGCTTTCCCCCCAGTTTATATACTGGGCATGACATCACATGGTATGGAATACCCCTTTGGCCAGTTTGGGTCAGCTGTCCTGGCTGTGTCCCCTCCCAACTTCTTGTGCCCCTCCAGCCTTTTCACTGGCTGGGCATGTGAAACTGAAAAATCCTTGACTTAGCATAAACGCTACTTAGCAACAACTGAAAACATCAGTGTGTTATCAACATTCTTCTCATACTGAACCCAAAACATAGCACTGTACCAGCTACTAGAAGAAAAATTAACTCTATCCCAGCAGGACAGGGAGAAAAACATTTTCCTGGATTTCAACCCTTCAACAAAGGGCATCTACAAACCTGCGCAGCTCTGAATGAGCCACCTCCGACATCAGCAGTTTGAGTCAAAGTGGGTTTACGTGCCCTGATTGCCACTGGGCCACCTGGACATGTTTAAAATTTCTTCATGAAAAGGTTTTCACTGTCTAATTCTCACATTTCATCAAGAAGTTGTGCTAATTACTATGGTTCAGAGCAACCATTATTTTGCAAGAGAGCTCTGACAATGCGCAACTGTCTGAGACTGTAAAAGCTAATCTTCCAATTTCTTTAATGAGGTGTATGCTATGAAACTACAAAAACTTACTGAGCATAAGGCTCTCAGCAGAATCAGTAATTCGCTTGACTTGAAGAAGAATAATCTCTCTTTTCTTTAGTGTCTCTCTAGGTTTGATCGTGTTGCACCAAAAGGCTGCCATCAGGCAATGTGATATACATCATATGTACTATACACATGCGGAATACTGAAGCCTGTTTTCTCATACCTGATTGATGGTGTTTGACTACCAGGGCTTTGCTGTCCTGCACGTAAAGGTGAACACACAAACCATGGATGCTGTCTGGGAAGCAGCCGTCATTTTGGAGTCTCCCACGTTCAAACTGGGGCTATTGGAAGGTGGCCAAGAGTAATTATGAACTGTGAGGATGCTGCAAATAGCCAACCTCTTAAGAGTGCATGTGTGTGCATTTCCACAATTAAAAGGGCAGCAAAAGAGACCTTTCATAGCCTATGGGTGGTGTTTGGCCTTGGCTTAGATCTGCATACTAACAAAAAAATTGAGAAAGCAATGTCATGGGGGTGGGAGAGGAGCACTGTTTTACTACTTTTGTATCTGCTATATAGGATGACTCCAGAAATGTTCTTGTCCCATTCTCACCATGAATTGTTTGTTTGGCTGGCTCAGGCTGCTGTTTCGGTGGCCCGTTTCTGCTAGATAGGAAATCTTCTGCTTCACAGTTTATGGAAGATACCACCAATAAACCTGTTGAGCAAAGTGGGTGAAACCACACATTGGTGGCTACCTGTGTGAATTTGTATGTTAGGGTTGACTTGTTTTTGTCTTGTAATGGGAGAATTTATTTTGTGCTGTTTTACAGGACTGCTTTGACAATACAGTCTAGGAAACCTAATTTTCCAGCTCCTTTAATAAGCCACGTCCTACAAATCCAAAGAAACCGGTTTAACCAGCGCACAGCACCATCAGCAGGAAGCTTTACAAGGACTAGCTGATAAGCTCCAGTCTGTGTATAGGTGGTTTTCCTCTGTGCTAAATAGCTGAACTCTTATTTTAACCACAGCCAGTCCTGCCTTGCCACTGGACTGCCGAAGGCTGGACCCAGAGCATTGTCGCTCAGTGTGTGGCATCCCCCGGGGCTGAGAGGGGAAGAGCTCTCAGTGCCACAGGACAAGGACACGTCACTTTACAGGTTGAGAGCTGCAAATAAGGGCAGCTACCAGAGAAAGGAGCCCTGATACCAGAGCTATCACCCACACTGCAGCTTTCTTTGCTCTGACACTCACAGTCAAAAGCCAGTGAAACAATTACTGAAAGTGCTAGCTATTCTAAAGCCCAGCTATCGAATTCACCACTCAAAAATATATTCTGTATAGATGTTTTCAAAGTTGGGTTCCTCAAGCTAAGTGAAAGGCTGTCATGCTGCGACAGAAAGGTCAGGGGTTTCGGAGACAGCTCAGAGAGCCTGACTCCAGCTCGGCTCAGCACCTGTGTCCTGCACAACCATGCACGAGCTGCTGGGGATGAGGTCCGGAGCGTGGGAAGGAGCCCCAGGAGGGTTTTCTATCCATTGCAATATCTGTGCTCCTCCATGTCACAGGGAACCAGAGAGGACACCTGCTTTAGAGGTCTTAAGGTACTCAGAAACTCTGTTATTTTAGGATGAACTCATAAAGCAGATCCACCTGACTTTCCTGAGGTCCTTTTCATCCAGAATGCCTATTAACTTCAGTGACTGCAACAGCATCTAGTACCCTCAGAAAACCAGGGTATGTGCTCAGATTACTTACGGCTAGATTTAGCTGGCCTTAGGGGCGACACAAAGTGTTGACTTTGCATTTTATTTTATCTATCGCTGTGGCTCTTTATCCATAGGACGAAAAACATTTCCAAAACTGTGTGTCTTATTCTTATTGTACCTGTATTCTAGATAAAGAGATTTTTTATTATGATTATGGAAATGTTCTGGAAAACTGTGTCTGCTGACAAAGATAAGAAGCCAGTTGAATAGCAGAAGCTTACTCACTGTTTTCTTAGCAAGAAAAATACTCAGTTATATTATCAGACATAATGACTGATCTATGAATTAAGATAAAATGCTGCACATACCCTACAAATACTTTTTTGCAAAAGATGGAGAAAAGAGTTTACAAATCAAATATTTATTCTTTTTTTCGCAGGTAATATTTCTATCAAGTTTATGCAGGTATTTTATACACATCTCAGAAATTACTCATTCTCTGTGGAATTTGCATAATACCTTATGAATAAGTATTTTTTGCTGTAAGAAATTCCCAGAGCATACATCTATTTCTGCACAAAACAGACTAAAATTAGAGGGCTGCTTTTCAGCATTTGATTCCACATGTATTTGTTGTAAAGACAATAATCAGCTGCTAGTCAGACAATAGTTAAGTCAACAGTTCTGCATGCATCTGTTTGCTACAAAAGCTGTTTCTAAAAAGCTGTCGTCTCTCAGAGCCAGCTTCTGCAATATTTATGTTGATTACTACCCTTCACTTCATTTAATTGTACATGTGAGAATAAATGCGAGGAAAATTTTGCTCGAGCCAAGTAACACCCACTAGAATTCAATTCATAAAACCTGCGGTTCAATGTAATGTCAGAATTTCTGTTGACGTGGTTCCATGTCTGATGGAAACCACAGGCTACGTGCACAAATTGGTCCACAGGAACATATGTGGTTCTCGCCCACGGCAGTTGTATGAGAACAGGTATGTTCAAAGGTCAGCTCTCAGTGGGATGGTTTAGTCTATATGCAACCTGTTCAGGTAGTCTATTTAAAACCTGAAAACTCAAGAATAAAGTCATGAGGCACATGAGGAAATTGTCTCGGGAAAAAAAACATGGAGAGGGCAGGTGTCTTCTTTATAAGCAGGTAGGAGCTAGTTTCACTTCTGAGCTGGGTGATACTGCAATAAAGAACCTATTTTGCTGGTGGGAACACAACAACAGGCACTGTGCCTTTGCAGTAAGGGAAGTCCCTGCCAACTGCTGCCGTATAGGTCCCACCAGTGCCTATGGCTGCAATCCGGGCTGCAGCTGCACCCCTCACACACCCACCAGGAGCCCCTCTGCCTGCATCTGCCCTGAAAACAGGGATCCCACTCCTCACCTTGCCACAAACACCCCCTGCTGTGCATTTACCAACCAGAAGAACACAATGGTGTGACTGGGATCTGTCATGTTTATAATTTATCTTGTAAGACTCAGGATAATCTTAATACCTTTCCCTGAAGCTGTTTTCTTGAGTCACTTGTCCGGTAAGCCTCCTGCCACAGGCAGCCCTGACAACCCAGCTAGCTTGATGCCTACCCTTACACCCACTAATAGATCTTAGGATGTCATTCAGCCATTGCTAAACTTGCTCCAGGCAGGTTCAGCCATGCGCCCCTCTCACACTTAGCACCCCGCACTACTGTTGAAGAAATGCAACCAGATTATGCCTAGTTTACTCCAACTGATTTTCACTTTACGCAAGTTATTTGTATTATGGAGACACAGGTCTTAAAAATCCATGGGCTAGCACTTCCATTAACTCATACTTCACCCGAGGAAGGAGTGTACGTTGCAGCTTGCACCTTCACAGACTACTTTAAAGGCCATTACTATGTTTGTAGTAAGTGGCAACGGCATGCTGCGCTCTTGCACGAGGATGCTGACCCTGCCCTTTCCCCTGCGCCCCATGGACTGCCTTTGCAGAAGCAGCATTTGAAAACACAGTACCTGCCGTTTCTGGTATCGTGTTGCCGCATGTTCTTGATAAAATGAACCTTCTTAAAGTTCTTTGGTCTGGGTGATCCTGAGAGTGTCCGACATCTGAAAAATAAATCAGTTGCGGGTGAGGGGTGGGAGAAAAAAAATAAAAGTACTCAGTTCCCAGCTGTACAGCCAAGAAATCTACACAAAGGCAGGAAGGAAAGACGAGACAAATGATTCAAGTCACCCTGTGTTAGGAATCAGCAAGAACAATAAAGACAATAAGTCTGGAAATGTGACAGCTCAAATAAAAAAAATTATTTAAAGTAATAAGAAAAGGCACCACCACGCCTCCCTTCATGCAAAAAAACCCAGATCATAAAAAAAACCTGAGCAAAATAAAACTTCCTGTAATCTGCTGTGACAGCTTAGCCCAAGCTTTCAGAAGAAAAAAGAAAATTAAACTAAAACAAAACCTGGTAAATATGCAATTTTCCCCCTCACACCAACACCCACACTTCTGTATCCTCCTTAGCTATTGATAAAAGAGCTATTGAGGAAAGTTCTTTCTTGTTTTAATTTTAGAAAGATTTAAAATCTCTCATTTGCAAGGATAATTCCTATTTGCTTTTAACTCTACATATCACTTTTCACATTCCTGACAGCATACAAAACAACTGAAAATAAAATAAATTACCTCAGGAAAAAAAAAAATCTTTCTTCAATACATTAATCCTTAAATCTATTTTACATCTGAACACACTTTTAAAATTGTGGTTAGAGAAAGAAATTGCCAGAGGGAGGAGAGATGAGACAAACAGCAATATCCGCCCCCCTCCAGCCTTGTTCTTTTTAATCAGCTGAAACCACAACGCGTGTGAAAGCTTTCTCTGTTTCATCTCAGCGCTGTTTTGTTGCAAGGCATGGCACGACGCGCAGGCACTGGAGATAACTCCTGCGCTCACTGCATGGCCAGGGCTGCCAGACCGCAGCCACTGCATCCTCCGTGGGAGCTAAGGGACAAGCATCCTCTGCCGGCACACGGAACCAGCACAGTCCCTCTGTGCTGAGGCTCCCTAACCTATTTTTCCCATCGTCTCCTATGCATAGGCAGAGTTCAGCAGCTTCCCAACCCCAAGAGGTCCTTTTGTTGGACTGAAACCACAGACCACCGGTCCCAAGACACCAGGGACTGCCAGTCCCCATTGCTGTACCCAAACACCATCACACTGCATGGGTAGACCCCAAGAGGGGGACCTCATCACTTTGCCATTTCTGCCTTCCTCCTGTTACTAAAATCGCTGAGATTCCCTCACCCTCTGGTTGCAATTAGCCTTGTTAGCGTCTTCATGGGAAAATACCACCAAGAGAGAGGTTCTACCACTAATTCTGCAAATTAGCAAGTAAAAATACAGCCTCACAAACCATACTCTGTTTATATCTTTTGCCAATTATATGTGTTTGAATTATTTATGAGAACGCTTCATAAAATGTTGGTAAGTGTTCAACAGTAAGCTTGGTAAAAATAATCAAGCCTTGGTAATAGGCCAGTTGGTACAGCCTCTGCTATTAAGTCTTTGCTTCGAGGTGGGGAGAGACAGCCCATCTGCATGTGGATAAACAATGCTATAGGCTAAACATCAATATAAACCAGATGAATTACAGGTGCCAAGGTAAAGAGACATTCAAAATTAAGCTCCTGCCTTGCCAAACAGCTGACCTGGAAGCATACCACACTCTGGTCAGATTACTGATCAGCCTGTTTCTGAACTGTTAAGCAGTTGCTCCATTTTCCATCACCCCAGAGGACTGACCAGTGACTAATTACTGCGGTCCCCAGAGAAGCTGTGGCCTCTTGGATGCAGAAATAAAACCACACTGAAGCTGTTGATATAACAAGGATGGGGACATATTTATTAGTGAGGTAGCAGTCACAAACCTACCAGCCAACACAGAAAGACAGTAACACTGGTTACCGAAATAAGATTGCGTGTGCTCAGAGAACAAATGATAGAAATCCATAAAAAATAAGAATACTAAAAATACTAGCCTTCAAAAGCTTACTTTATTAAACCAGCTGTATTTACTTTTTAAAGGTACTATGTTAGAGGCTAGTCATTCCTGTTAGTGACAACTAAACCTCTCTATTAATCAAATCTGGCTTTTTATTTCCTGACATTTTATTTAAATACTGACTTTTTATTTAATAACCTAAAGCCAGGGAACATGTAATTCATGTCACCTACCACCTTGCAGGGTGTGTGAGGTTTCACTTTACCCACCGTGAAGAACATCTTAACGTGAACACCCAGTTACTTTTCAACACATGCAGGGACAGCAAGTCTGTCCATGCATGTGCCTTACAGACAAGTAACCAGAGAGAGAGAGTAAATAAAATGACCTCCGCAGTGGGGCATTTTCCTCGATGTCCTCCAGAGTCTCCAGAGAAGATCGCTGGGATATCAGCCGACGTCTGCAGAGAAAACAGAACACAAAAGATCACCGTGGGTTAGAGGGCATGAGAAAGTCCTCAGAGCTGTTATTTCGTAAAGCTCACAAACTACAGTTCACTAGCTGAACTGTACCTTTGGATTTTAATAAATTTTGTTCTCTTCTGCTTACCTTGCTAAATCAATTTGATCCCAACCAGAAGCAAACTTACTCCATACAAGCTTCTATAGCAAAACAGAAGCTGAAACTTCCCAACAGCTCCTCCTCAGTTTGTGCTTTCAGGTTTTCCTTCCTTCAAGGGTTTAACACCCACCTAACACCAGTCCCACATTTGCTGTGTTATAGCTTGCAATGCTACAAGTACTGCTTTTTGATAAAATAATGCAGGCATAGATCCACAAGAGACTGCCTGTCATTCACACTGCCACCAGGGACACTTCTCTTTGCTCCTTGCCCTTTCTACCAAATAAATGCCACTTGTTTCTCAGTGATGTCCATCTCATCACTCCTGAGAGGACTGACTGAAGAGAGATGAAAGATGATGGAGCTGGCAGCACTGGGCACAAAACTGCAGTTTAAAAGGGAGCTCTGACCATCCCTGTGAGCAGCACAGATGAGTTTAGTCCTGTTTTAAACCAGTTTTCTACAGCTGAGTCATATCCCTCATTCACCTTCAGTGAAATGAAGTAAGGAAATCTTAGCATTTCCAGTTTTCTGACTGTTCTAGTGGGCAGGGAAGATGCCCCAGTACAGGCTTGGTTTTAGCAGCAATTGCTGCTGCACAGCCTCCAAACACCCTGACGGCAGCCCAAAATGAGGAGCTGCATCCAGGCCTCCAAAACCCACCGTAAATACAAAAAATAAATGCATAAGATACAGCCCACCCACAGGCACATAATGAAAAATTAAGCTAGTAATCATCAAAACGACCCTGTTGCAGCAACAGCCAGCGAAGCGAAGGTGCCATGTCGTGCCATAGCACCTAGCTAGCACAAGGAATGTCAGCACCCATTGCTCCTAGGGGCCATTGCTGAGGTGTACAGTACCTTGCCAGTGATTTTATGAGAATGAACTTAAATGACAAAAGTCCTCATAGACTACCACTATTTTTTCCCCAGTTACCTTAATACCCTTCCCACCGAGCTGTCTTACTTCCTTACTCCGCAAGTAAAGAGTTTCCAGAATCTCAATGTCTTATGAGCATCACCGTGCTTGGAAGGGTGCTCATTAATTTATTCCTGGGCTGTATGTTCACAATAAATTGTTTTCTCTGATGCCAGTGTAAGCAGTTTCTAATCCTTCTTGCAATTTGCTAGCCCCTCCAGTTGTGCTGCTACAACTGTTCCTGCAGCCGTGCTGCAAATCTGATTACCGAAATGTTTTTCAGTTCAAAATAACCCTGAGGTTCAGTGATTCAGTTTACTACTAGTTCAAACACCAGATTTCTATCACTAACACCCAAACAACACATTTCAGGACAGTTTGAATATGTATGTGACTTTCTGTGTACTTAGAAAATCATAAAAAAAAACCTCAAACAATTTATAGAGCAACTAAGTGTGAGGTGTAATCCTCTTAGGAAAATATGCAAACCTAAATCCCCTCAGGCTTTGTCTAAACTATAAATTTAGAAGATCTGGTGCAAGACAGAATACACCTTCAAAATGCTAAGAAAAAACAAAGTCTGCATTTCAGGGTGTGCTGAACTTGCTGCTACACTCAAGGAAGAAGAGATCAAACATCTGTCTCCTGTGCCCACAGGTGCTCCCTCAGCTCCATCCAGTCAGAGGACACAGAGATGCTCTTATAGGGAGAAAATCAGATCAGGAGGAGCTCTGCCTCCATTTTCAGTTACATTGGTCCATAAACAAAAGTTGGAAGTTTCAACTACCAGGACCACTGATGTGGCAGATGATAGCTCCTGCTTTTTAATACCTCTTTATACATCATTAGCTTACCAACACACTTAAATGATGGTACCCTCCCATCTTGTGGTGTTACAACACCAAAAGCATAGTTTGCGTATTGTTAGCCAAGGAGAGATAAACAAGAGTACAACCTTGCCAGCTTCTGCGTATTAAATTTGTCAAACTAGTCACACAGTGTTTCCCCTAGATGCCTGTTAGATGCCTTAAGGTGCTTGTACAACACCAGATGCATATTCCAGCCACCACTGCAACCCTCCTCCAAGTCTCTCCTCGCCCAAAGTTACGCACCATCCTCAACTTCACTGCCAACGGCTTGGCAGAGATGGGTTTGAAGATTCTACATTTGCATCTGTTATTAAGGCAAATGCATTGGTTGGCAGAAATACAGGCGACTGCATTTCATCAGCTCCAGGGCAGCTTTAAACGCTGGTCATCCAGTTGTCTGCTGACTGTTCAGATTCCTCTGGCTTCCCTTGCTGGTCACAACTTTGTAAACCCAGCACCAGGGATGCTGCCTTCTGGTTTTTGCTTGCTAACCTTGAGTGCTACACAGGTAGGATGAGAATTGCTGCTACCCCTCTTGGCACAAAAGAGCTCGCACTGATTTTCACCGATAGTGGTTTTGCAGTATTTTGGGGACCTAACATGGTAAGTGAGTCTGTACAAAGAAGGGGGGGAAGCTCTCTGCTCACCCAAGCTTGGGAGAGGAGCACTGATACCTGAGCTCCCTCTCAACTAGTGTGAACATAAGCACCACTCTGGATAAATTCATCCAGGAAGGAAGGAAGGAAGCAAGCAGATAAACGCCCCCCAAAATAACCAGCAATGAAGAAGCATGAGTCACACAGAAGCCTGCAGTGATATAAAAGGGGGCTGCCGCAGCCTAATCCACTCCCTATACTGGCATCGGTAGCAGTGAGAGCGAGGCTATCCAGTCCAGCACCCAACCCAGCTGAAAACTACCACATCTTTCACCTCTCCCCAAAATCATTAGTTTTAATTGGTTCAGTTCCCTCCCTGCACAATCACAGGAGCACCAGTGAGGCAGATTTGCAGCAACTGTGCTGAAATCCGTTCATACTGCCCAGGAATTGCACCCTCTTTTCACTGAAGAAGCTCAGCTGCAATGAAGTATGTGCAATTATTCCACTTTATCTTAAATCTTTATTTCGAGGCCTAATTAAGATGACCTAAATACCAATATTTTATAAGCTTTCCACAGCTGGATATTATACCAGAAATGCCAGTTAATGAACCTACCTGCTGTGAATCAAGTCACATCCTGTGCCACACACATAGGAAAAAAAACAATTTCAGAAAAGCAAAGCTTTTGAAAGGGTGTTCCAGGGAATACAAGCAAACCCAGTTTTTCATTGTCTTCATTAAAAATTAATTGCCTCAACTGGTGTTTAATATTTAAATTAATTTATAATCTTTCTTTCTTCAGGCAAGCAGTCAGGGCTTGTCTATACAACTTCTAAAAGGGTTATTTCTCAAAAATTGATTAACATGCTATAGCAGCTGGTATATGTAGACACTTGCACTGAAATAACCCAAACTGTTTTATATCACACATCACCATCATTCTGATATACAGCAGTGTTGATACCTATTTTATAACAAAAAAAGTCCTATTTCAATAATAATTAGGGGAAAAGCCTTCTATTGTTAAGGAAGGGTATCTATACGCAGACCAAAACAAAATAGCACTATGTGAGTCATACAGGATTCAGGCTTTGGGATAAGTCTTCAGGCAGATGCATTTTTGATATAAAATGCTTCAAAACTTGCACAAAGTAAATGTCAGACAGCTAACACACACTACAATACAATTGCCCTTAATAACAAAATTAAAGATGTTTCAGTAAAAACGTTAATTTCTCCTAGTTCACGGAAAGCCTTAAAAAAATTCCTCCTAGTTTAACTACCACATCCTAGCTATACCAAACTCACCCCTCTCTCTCCGCACCCTCATGCACACAGAAGAAAGCAGTTTAGCTCTGGAAAGATGACAACCTCCTAGTTCTAACCATCAGCCCCTGTAGGACATTGTCAGTCACAGATTCATGCAACTTACAGGGTTTTTTGTTTTAAAATCATGTAATACCACTTTCCCTTAAACACCTATCTAAAATATTTTTTCCTGTTTCCTCCCTGTTCCCTGTGCAATTGTTGCATAAGCCCAGAAATAACCAATACCCTACAATCAAACTCCAAGCCCAGTCCAAAGATACTAAAGATACATTTGATGCTCTGGTATTTTAAACGGCTGTTTTCTAAGATAGACATGACCCTGTTTGCATACTGGATTTATCTTTGACCAGCTGTCTGAATCTCGGTAGGAAGTTTCTTAAAACCTAAAATGTTGTGTCCATTTCCCCTCTCTAAAGTCAGATTAATATGTGGCTCAGTTGCAAAAATGGAATAAAATACAAGGACAAATAAAATAAAGCAGGTCTGTGACCAAAACAGCAAACAGCCAGTGAGTAAACTGCAAAAAGATTCACCATAACCAACCCATCAATCAGTGGAAAATTATCTTCACTGCCAATTGCTGCAAAATACTCAGCTCAATTATGTTAAACATACAAAATCTTAAGCTCCCTAGACAAGAGATGATAAAAAAATGGAGCTGCAGTCAGAACACTGGATAAATTCATGCAGGAAGGAAGGAAGCCGATGATAATCCAAGAGATAAGGAAAAATAAATCCATGTGTAATGACTTTCTAGCACAGCTACAAAACCAGGAAGAAAAAGCTGCATTTTAAATACGCCTAATTTTTGTGAAAGTTGTGGGTGTAGATCCCCCCTCCTTCTGTTAAGATTACAAACCTACAATGGCTGAAGCCAGTAGTGTGGGTGCTTCTGGCTCCCAGAACAAAAGCATCCCTCAGGACAAGCTTCTCCACTTTGCCCGGGACAACTGAATCCCTTCAGAGATGCAGTGATGACGGGACACATGAGTGCTAATTATCCGAACATCTGCCGACTGCGTTAGCATTGATGGGAGAACTTGGGAGGGCAAAGACATTTCAGCAGCTGAAGACTGTCGGTAGTTCACACGCCCAGTGGGTCACCCCCTCCCTTC